GCTCCCCCCGATTACCCTGAGGCTGCGGATATTCACTGTAAATAGGCCATGATTGGCGATGAAGAAAATACCAGGAATCTGTAGGTAAAGGCACCCACGGACTAGAGGGGGTTAGAAAAGTCACGTGTGGTGGCATTGGAAAATGTTCAAGTAGCGAAGGAAAAGGAGCGTTGCAAAGAATGGGTTGTGAAGATGGAGGAGAGGGAAGAGAAGGAACAGGAAGTGAATCAGTGTCCATTGAAGTTGTCTCGCAATTTCTAAAATGGCTTCAAGTGTTTCTGATTTAAGATGTATGAGAGACATATTGGAGAAAAGAGAGGGGGGGGAGTAAAAATTGGGATAGTAATGGAACTGTTTCCAAAGTAGAGGGGGGGGAAGAGTTTCAAAGGGCTGAGATGAAGTGTGGGGGGGACAGAAGAGCAAAACCGGAGGGTTGGAGAAAGGGAAACTTGGGAGGGAGGGGGGTGGAAGGGATAGTTAGAGGAGGAGGTGTAATCTCCACAGTAAAAGAGCAGAGAGAGGGGGAAGAACTAGGTACGAGGGCTGGAAAGGTAAAGTGTGGAGGTGGAGAAGGGAAGGAAGGGGCAAAGAAGTTTGAGCATGGGATTTTTTGGACTTGAGTAGAGGGCGAAAATTGGTTTAGTGGTACGAGGCTTGTCGATATGGGGCTTGTGAGGAGGACGCGAAGATGTGAGAACAGACAGTTGTATCGGGACTCAGAGCAAGGACAGCAAAAGGATTAGATGCCGATGGCTATGGGAGGGGAACAACAGAGGAGGCTGCAGAAGATGACCCAGAGTGGGGGATGTTTGGAACCGAGATAAGAAACACGGGGTATTCCCTTAGGCGGAGATGAGTAAAATGCCATAGCATAGGGAGACCCTTTTGCTCTTGAGGGGAACGGATTCCGTTTTTAAAATGACTGGCAACCGGCGGGAGTACGAAGGGTGAGCTTTATTACAATAAGGCAAGATGGAGGTTGATGCAAGTGTATTGAGGTGTCGGCACCACGACGGCATTCGGCCAGTCTGCAAATTTCGTGGGTGACCAAAGCCAGCAATTTCACATTGTTGCGGTGTAGGGATCCTTTCGAACTTGTAAACCCATGTCCGAATTTCAGAGGACGGGAGTTCTCGGCTGTCAAAAGTTTAAACGAGCCACTTGCAAGGGTAACGTCTCCGCCCCGGGCAGGAAGGACATAAGTGTTACTTTAGGATTGGAGATCCTGGGTTCCGCTTTTCAAAATTCTTCCCACATGAGGGAAAATTCTGTTGGACTATGGTAGGGGGCAAAAAAGGGGGACAGTACCACTACAAAAATTTGAGAGAGAGAGTTTTTAAATAGTGATGAGTAGTATCGATATTCAAAAAGGAGAAAGATCTGAGCTTGGGTAGCTTTCTGGACATGATGATGCGCTACCGCTTTGGAGCTGAAATAAAATATCTCTACCGACATGACGAGGAGGCTTTGCCAATACTATGGTAAAAAGGTGGCAAAAGAAAGCGGTTTTAAAGTAAAAAATTTTCCCTTTTTGTGGTCCGAAATGAGGTGGAGAGGGAGTGCTTGAGTGTCGGTCTTTTCCGAGTAGAAGGGGAAAGGGGAAACGAAGGAGTCATGGGAGTTTGGGTTTGGGCTTTTAGGGTGGCCCGGATTGGGTCGGCGTGAAAGGGCGGGCGTTTCGAAAATTGCCGTACCGTAGAGGGAGAAGCCGGAAGATAGTCAAAGGGAGAGCGGAGTTCAGACAAACGAAGGAGTCATTGAAGCCCGTTCTGAAGGGGGGGGGAAGGAAACACCCAGCAAGGGGTTTACAGGGATCAGGGTGTCGAGAGTGGTCTAAACACAAGGCAGGGTCGAATGGGGTGCGGTATCAAAAAGGGGGGCCCGGGGGGGGTAGTGGGTTAGGATAGGGCGCCATGGTTAGGGTTTTCCCTTTTTTTTTGTTTTTAGAAAAAAAAAAAAGAAGAAGAAAAGAAAATAAAAAAAAAAAAGAATAAAAAAGGGGGGAGCGGGGAGGAATAGTTCCCCGGAGGAAAGAAAGGGCCGGAAACTTCCTCCGCGCCCAAGGGACCTCAGCAGTAGTAGCAAAAAGATGCAGCGGAACCCCTGCCTACCCTACCTTCATGCGGTAAACAGAATCCGGGATAGCAACCTCCTCTCCGAGTACCTCGGTGGACAAAGAGAGGGGGGCCGGAATCCCCCACAAAGCTCCCCCTTGGCCACCACCCCGGAATCCGAAAGGTGGCTTCCAGAGATACACCCGTTGCCCGAAAGACACCCAAAGCTACTCCGGGATACCGGAGAGGGATCGGGACATCCCCAGGCAATCCAGATTCCACGGCAAACTACGCCACCGCCAAGAACCTCAACGGAATGGGATGGATCCCGGTGTCCTTTCCCCTACCTAGGAACTAGCGAGCCTGTGGGAGAAATCCCAAAGGCCAAAAAGAGGAAGGGCAAAAGGGAGGGGTGAGGAGGAGGAGGAGGAATGGAAAAAGGGGAGGATGGGATAGGGGAGGGGAGAATGGGGGGTAATTAGGTTCGGTCTGAGGAAGAAGACCGACAGGGCTAATTCCTCAGACCAAGAGCCTCTTCACCACGCCAAGGAGCCCCCCTTGAAGAGGGAGAAAACTGGAGATAATGTTTATGTACAAAGTATCACTCTAGGAGTCACAGATTCTTATATATGAGAAGGATTCTTATTACTTTTACCGGTAATTTATAAATGTACTGTTCTCATAATAGTTCATGGCAGTGTCATTTTCATACTAAACCCTTTCACTGTCCAGATCCCAAATTCAATATTGCTCTCAGTCCCTTTCAAAAAAAAAAATCTGAAATGGTAGAGAATTTTTTTTATGAAGGTAATGACATCAAAAGTACAAAATTTAATGGAAAACTTACAGAATTATCCAGGTGCAAAGTTAGCGGTCTCTGTCTCATTTACATATCAGTGATTTTGCCCACTTTGAGCCTATTTTAAGCCAATTCTGTTGTTCCAGTTAACCAAATTCTTTAGTTATTTTGCTAGTATGCCTTCCATTTTATCAACTTAGCAAAAGAAACTGCCCATTCAACTACCATATGTAGAGTGATTAGAATTTGGTAATTTGGCCATTCTTTGGACAAAAGATTATAAATAAATACCACTTTCAAAATAGTACATAAAAAATACAGATATTCTTGACACTAAAACATTTCCTCTATTCATTAGTCAAATACCCTTTCCTCTTTTATATTACACTTCCCTTCCATTCTGAATTCTTATCACACAAAAACAAAAGATTTACTCTTTCTTGGATAAGACAATATAAGCAGGAAAGATTGGTCAATGGTCATGGTTTACAGCATCCCAATGATTGAATCAGACCTAGTAAAAACCCATAAGACAGACTAGGGGTTGAAAGGGAGCCTAACCCGTCCTCTGGAATATTGGCAAGAATCGAATGTTTCCACCACTTTGAGCTCAATTTCAAGCTACTTCCAGACATGAAACCAATTATGTAAAATCATCTCTATTTCAGTAATATGTCTCCAATTCTATCAATGATACCAAGAAATGGCCAATAAAACCATAAACATTGGTAAAACACTGAAAAGGTCACTATTTTAAACCATACAAATGGTCAATTTTATTTTTCCCATCATGCACTGCGAAGGGAGGATTTTTTTTTATACAGGGTGCACTTACCACACAGACCCATTCCCTTATATATGTAGGCCAAAATTTACCGCTCACAGCTTATCTGAGTGAGCTGAGCTCACCAAGTAGTACTATGGTATGGCCTGAGCTCAAAGCCATAGTACTACAGCATGGACCCTGAACCCAAAGCCGTGGTACTATGGCACAGACCCTGAGCTTAAAGTCACAGTACGTACTATGGCATGGACCCCCTCAAGGGAGGTTCCTTGATGCTGGTGAGGGGCTCTTGATCTAGGGAATTGGATCTGTGCTCCAGTTCCCTGAATTGAGCCTGAATGCCTTCCATCCCTCCCCCCCCCATGCACTGTATAATCCTACGGTTTTAGTGCTCCCCATGATTATAATAATATGGCACGGACCCTGAGCTCAAAGCCATAGTACTAAGGCACAGACCTCAAATGGGTTAATATCAGGAAGTGTCTGAAGTGAGTAAAAATATTATTACTGGGTGGTTTGACGGTAAACAAGTGAATTAGCTTACTGATACTACCCATAATTCATCTGACTCCATCACCTGTTTTACCCTAGCCTACTGCTGCTAAACGCCAATGAATTTTTACGATGATTTATGATTATTTTTGTTATTCATTATTTTATAAAAAATAGTTTACATGATTCATTATTGGGTTGTATACAAGAGCTTAGATTACTGTCTAGTATCAAAACACTTCTCTAGGCTTAGGTTGAGGCCTATGAGCAACGTAACCTTTGGCCTCCAAAATGCTGGGTAAATTTTTGAGACTTATTTTGGGAAAAAATTGCATCTTCAACACCATAAAATACTATGGTAATTGTTGCTGACAACAAACTGGCACTGGTACAAATATAAAGTTTGTCTGTCTAGCCTCAGCAGATGGAGGACTGAGCCTCCACCACATCTTGCACTGAGTGATCTATTTGTGATGCATCATGTCAATATTATACAAACTTTCAGATTTTGGAATTTCGGACAAAGGATTCTGTACTGTAGTTAAGAGTGGAGGCAAATGGTTTTTTGGACCTAATGAGCTGCCCATGTGTGACCAAGGTAACATTTTCTGAAAAGATTCAGGGAAGTCCTGGAGGTGGGAAGCACATGGGTACAGTGACTGCACACTAAAGAAGGGATGAGGATATTTGCTGTTTATTGTATCTATGCACCTCTTACAAGACAGCGAGTGTAAATGATAGTGAAAGTGCTTCTTTTTTGGGTCACCCTACCTCATTGGCAGACAGCCATTGTGTTTAAAAAAAAAAAAAAGTAAAATTTAATATATTTTTTCAGGGCAGCATTCTATACAAAATTTATTACGGTACTTACCTACGTCACCATATATAATAGCTTCATACTCTTCAGATGTAGCAATTACTTCTCCCCATGGGTTGACCACTGAGGAGTGTCCCCAAGCTATGTACTTTGCTGATGTGTCACGTGCTGGGGAGATAGTTCCAATATAAATCTGGAAATGTAAGCCAAGTAAATCATGATTAAGTTATTCATTTGTATAAAGGGAGCTGTGATCCTAGAGGTTCCATGAAATTAGAAACCACAAAATCATACAAGATTTAGTCTGCATAACATTATTTTTGTTTCAAATTTGGGTTAATTTTGTGTTTCAAAGACCATATCTCCATGAATCACCAATCTGGTTAATATGGACATTCAGAAGATATAAAGATTACAATATCGAGAGATCTGGGTATGGGAAAGCCACTGTTGTTCACAATTTACATAAACGTCATAGATGAGGGAATAAATAGCGACATAAGCAAATTTGCTGATGACACCAAAATAGGCTGTCCAATTCATTCTAATAAGGACACTAGAGCACTCCAGGATGATTTGAATAGACTGATGCAATGGTCAGAGAAGTGGCAGATGCAGATTAATATTGACAAATGCAAAGTTCTAAATGTTGGACAGGTAAATAACCATGCCACATATAAACTAAATAATGTAGATCTTAATACTACTGATTGCAAAAAGGATTTAGGAGTTCTGGTTAGCAGTAATCTAAAACCAAGACAACAATGCATTAGTGTTCGCAATAAAGCTAACAGAATTCTTAGCTTCATATCTAGAAGTATAAATAATAGAAGTCCTCAGGTTGTTCTTCAACTCTATCTTGGTTAGGCCTCATTTAGACTATGCTGCTCAGTTCTGGTCACCGTATTACAGAATGGATATAAATGCTCTGGAAAACGTACAGAGGAGGATGACAAAGATGATCCATGTATCAGAAATCTTCCCTATGAGGATAGACTGAGGGCCTGAATCTGCACTCTCTCGAAAGGCGTAGAATTAGGGGGGATATGATCGAGGTGTATAAGTGGAAAACAGGAATAAATAAAGGGGATGTAATAGCATGCTGAAAATTTCCAGCCACGACAGGACTCGCAGCAATGGTTTCAAGTTGGAAAAATTCAGATTCAGGAAGGATATAGGAAAGCACTGATTTGGTAATAGAGTTGTGGATGAGTGAACAAACTCCCGTAGTACAGTTATTCAGGCTAAAGCTGTATAGCCCTTGTGGCTTAGCGCTTCTTTTTTATTATAATAATAATCAGGCTAAAATGTTGTGTAGTTTTAAAAACAGATTAGATTAATACATGAGTGGGTGTGAGTTGGACCTGACTAGCTTGTGCTGCTGGGTCTGGTGCAGTGCTCCATCCTTGAGTGGAGATGATCAGACTGGGTGGGTCATTGGGCTAATCTGGGGGGGGGGGGGGCATGGACCTGCTCTGCATGGGTCAGTAGGCCTGTTTCAGTGTTCCTTCTTTCTTATGATCTTCCTACCATAATCAAAACAAATCAACACTTCTTGGTAAAATTCCAGAATCAATATCTGCAATTCATTCCAAATCATAAGCTATAAGTTACACTACAGAAATCATAATAGGAAGAGGAAAAGGTGGTATATTCAGGTATGACCCAAGAAACAAGAGATTAAATTAACTGCAGTGCCCAGTTCAGGAGCCCTTTCCGAGAAAAAAAAAAATCTTATGGATGATTTTAAACAATAAAACAGATGACTGAAAAATTTTCCCGCCTTCCTTCCCCTACAAGATTTATATGTCTCTTCCATGTCAATCTACTTTGTCATTCTCTCTAAATGATCCAAACTACCTCAATACAACACCTCTTCAGCTCTGACATACTTTTATTAACTCGACAGAAACATTCCTCCTAATTTCCACACTCCGAAATTTCTGCATAATACAGTGGACCCCCGCTTAACGATCATCTCCCAATCGACCAATTCTGTAATGAATTTAAGTGGTAATCGTTTGAACGTGTATGTTTGGGGTTCTGAAATGGACTAATCTACTTCACAATATTCCTTATGGTAACAAATTCGGTCAGTACTGGCACTGAACATACTTCTGGAATGAAAAAATATCGTTAACCGGGTCCACTGTATTACACCACACATTGCCCTTTAGACAGGACATCGTCCACTGCCTCCAACCACCTCCTCTCTGCGCAATTAACAACCCAAGCTTCACACCCAAATAAGAGTGTTTGGTACTACTGTACTTCTATACATTCCTTTCTTCTGGCTCCATAGATAACGTTTTTTGTCTCCACATAATACCTCAACGCACCACTCGCCTTTTTCCTTCATCAATTTTCTATGATTAACCTAATCATCATAAATCCAACCACTGACACGTCAACTCCAAATATCTGAAACATTCACTTTTTCCATGCCCTCCTTCAAATTTCTGTATCTAAATCATTTGATACCCTCATCCCCTCAAGGAGACTGAATAACTTTTTATGCTAATGAAGCTCTTAATCCAAGGAATTGACCCTATTTCCCACCTATTCCCCCTAGTGTATACCCCCTTCCAACACCTAAATGTTAATGATGTGTTTTTATCAGTGGAAAGGATGAAGTGTGCCGCCATAGTGAGTAGTTATTTAACTCACCTCTCACCCTACATGAAGACACAAATAATTTAAGGTAAATAATGAGTGTACTATAATGTGGTATTTTTACTTTTATATTGTTTTTTAATGCCTAGTTCTATGCTAACTTAATACATGTAGTGTAAACCTGTGTATCTAGCATTTAATTTATTAATAAGGGGTGGAAAAAAAAAGTTCCACTTTACGGCAGTAGCCTGGAACCTAGACCTGTCATATAAGTGGGTCCCTACTGTACCGGGCAATGCGTTATTTATAAGCATTTCTACCCTTACTAGGTTTTAAAACAGCCCACTCATAAAACAAAAATACACAAATAAAAACTTAATAAAACTGGATTTAATTTAGTGTACGTAGTGAGAGTGCAGCAGATATGATATCCAACCTATAAATTACAGTACTACTGTACTGATATTATGAAATATATGTACAGAATATTTTGAGGAACTTTTAAATGTTGAGGAAGAAAGGGAGGCGGTAATTTCATGCACTGGCCCGGGAGTATACCAATCTTTTAGCATGAAGAAGAGCATAATGTAAGTGTGGTGGAAGTACGTGAGCATTACACAGAATGAAAGAGGTAAAGCAGCTGGAACTGACGGATCAGACGAGAAAATTGTTAAAAGTAGGGGGATATAGTGGTATGGAGTGGATACCGGAGAGGGATCGGACATCCCAGGCATCCAGATCCAAGGCAAACTACGCCACCCCGCCAAGAACCTCAACGGAATGGGATGGACCCCCGGTGGCCTTTGCCCTACCTAGGAACTAGCGCGCCTGTGGGAAGAAACCTATAGGCCTAAAAGAGGAAGGGCAAAAGGGAGGGGTGGGGAAGGAGGAAGAATGGGAAAAAGGGGAGGAAGGGATAGGGGAGGGGATAATGGGGATAATTAGGTTCGTGGTCTGAGAAGCAGCCGACAGGGCCCGTAATTCCTCATAACCAAGAGCCTCTTCACCGTTGGATGCCAAGAGCCCCCCTTGAAGAGGAAAGGATATAAAGCTCTACCCAATTGTATTACAACTACAACTTTGTCACCTACTACTACTACCACCTTGAAATATCGAAATGGTACCTCACTAGTATTGCACCTCACTCCTGAGCCTTTATATACCCTCTGTGTCCAATACAGTTTGTAAATCGGCTTGACAAGCTCCTGGATAGTGAACCATGTCCACAATACAATGTCACATTAGTTGCACTTGTGTCCTATTAAACTTTAACATAGTTACGTAATACTGGCGTTTTGGGCACCCCGCAAACCTGCAGATCTGCGGTAGAATGCCTATCTGCAGTGCAGTGGATCATTCCAATACGACATTTATCCTTTTTCCCCTCTTGTCTCCATTGCAAGGAACCTCATCCTTCCTTCTCCTCTGTCTCCCGTCGGTGCCAAGTCTATCGAAATGAAAGAGAACCCTTACCTTAAAGAGCGCTAGGGTCATTACACTATGGCAGTCGATGCTCTGCATCAAGAAAACTTCCTCTTGTCCCATAAGCCTCGAGTAGCCCTCAGACCTCCAACCTTGACAGTCACCCCATCCCTCTGCGTCCGTGTCTGTTCGGGTTCGCCCCAGTTTCTAATGCATTTGCAGTTTTATCCCTGACACTCCTACCTTCCGCACCAACTTTCTACTTCTTCATCTCGCTCGCTTACTTCTCACCAGTCTACTAGACCTTGCAGACCTAACACTTTCTTCTTCAGTATCCATCACCGGTACCGAATCGCGACTTCAACCTCGGAAGTAAAGTTCTCACCCTCTTTTTCAGCACTCCGCACAAAAGATGAAGGGTCCAACCCTCCCCCCCCCATCCCTCCCCCCCCCTGTCTTCTTCCTGGTTACCCTCCAACCTCCTACCTCTCCTGTGTACACTGCAGGACTCTTCTCCCCCGGCCAACGCATCTCTCCAGGGCTTCATACTCCCTGCCCTCCCGCAGACCTCTTTGTTGCCTAAATAGTATACACTGCAACCTTACTTGCAATGCCTTTCCCTGTCTCTGCATCAATTATCAACTGAAACGATAAATGCCATCTCCAGCTATATAGCAGAGACGACACCCCCAGTGGACACCAATACGCCTCCTCCTATCCCTTCTATTTTACAACCCATGCAACAATCTATTCCTCCGCAATATTCTAATTCTTCCTTGCTTACACGCTTACCGTTGCCCCCATAGGTTAACTTTACTGATCCTAAAAGCCCACAGGTTTTATTGTTTCTTGTTGTCATTTTTATTTCAGTTGTCCCCAGTATGTGTTGGGTTGGAGGAGCCCAAAATTCGTTCTGCTGTCATTTGCCCTGCTTCAGGCTACTTGCTGTTCTGATATTGTGTTTTTAATTTCATCACTACCACCGTCCATATTGTTGGGCGATTTTAACGCTCACCATCACCTGTGGGGAGGGTCCCATTGCCTTCTATTCCCAGGTGTTGTATACCCCTACAGATAAAATGAATATGTAAATGGTATCCCAAAATGGTTTGCATCCAGCAGAACAATGGTATTAAGACTCACCTTTCCCATAGGAACTCTCTGCCAGGAACTGTGATCACATGTTGCACATGATTTCCTAGGCAACTTGTCCAAGGATGAGGTTCTTCTTTTGCAGTTCTTGCATTCAAAAAACCTTTTTTTGGCTTTTACTGTCTTGAGAGAGTGGTTCTCTTCACGACATAAGTCTGATGCTGATTCTGCCATGTACTTGCACTGTAATATGCCAGATTTGAAGATTTAAGTTGCATTAGACTAAACATTCTTAAACTTGTAATTTAAAATAAAAAACTACAAGACTGATGATGAAAAAAAATTGCACAGCATTTCTCCAAGAGGGAAGCCTTAATGCTGGTAAAGGGCTTTAATTAAAGTAGAGCCACCCTTCATTATGGGTTTAGTTCATGAACATGAACAGTAAAAAAATAAGAGTATAATACCTGGAAGCAAACATATGCAGTGGTGGGTATCTCCATTACAGATAGCATCTTTTCCTCCAACATTTCTTTCTTCTCCAATCCTTGATAATATTTGTCTAGTGCCTCATTTTCTACAGCCTATGATGCATAAAATACATTTGGGTTATTTTTGGTATAGGAAGGCTGAATAACTTATCAAAATTCCATTCACAAAAAAAAAAATTAGGTGGGTTGCCTTGATGTGGAAGACCTCTTGCTAGAACTAAGGAGTTGGGGCTATCTTGCCTTTCCTCAAGTGCTGTATAAGCTTTATGCTGGATGACCCTTGTAGGTTTAATGCTTTTTTATAATAATTATGAGCTTTACAGGTTTTTGCTTTCCTATGAATGTAATGACAACTCCATTTCTTTATAACACCTAAGGAAATGCACAGCAGTGCTGTATCAATATGCTTAAGAGAAGTTGGTTGACTACCATGCCGAGGGTTAAGGAAGCCTCTTTTCCAGGAAGAGTGCCACTGGCAAAAAGGTACCTGTCTAAGAACTGATGACATGAAATGTTTTATGGACATGGAATGTAAAAAAATATTGAATAGTTATATTACACAAACCATAATCACAACTCAAGTATAAGCAAATTATTTACAATAGTGGCAAGTTGGCATTGGTGTAAAAATGATCATGTTAGAAATGATATTTTTTTGGTGTTGGACAACCAAAAGGCTCTAGTGCTTTGTTCAGTGCTGTATGACCCTTATGGGTCACAGAGCACTATACCTTAGAATGACGCATTTTTATGCTCAGATACATTAGGAAGAAAAACAGATACAGACTATGTAGAAAAAAAAGCATGAAAAAGACTTGTTTGATAGCAATGAAAACAAGTCCTCAGGAGAAACAAAGCAGGTTCATGCATCAGAATGAAAGACATCATCCCAAAAACACTAAACTCCTCCAAACTGCATGGAAAGATGAAAATATTTGCATCAAACACCACACAGGATGTAACTATCAAATGGAACAAGAATACTTGCTTTAAGAACTCTCCAATAAAATGGCTAGTTCAAAACAACATACTGGCTTTATTTCTCTTTAATAATATACAGAACCATAAAACAAGCATGAAAAATAAGAATCTGATTTCATAAATGGTCGTGGTTGGACAACAAGCATAATGCATCGAGCCTTTTACTGAAATCCACAAAGACATCTTGGACTGAACTAGGCATGTGCCCCAGTATCTGTAAATTTTGATGGTATTAGTGGGTGGTAGTTTAGTGTGATTATAATAATAATAATAATGATGCTATTGACCTAAAACTTGAGTATTGATTTTTATTTTATTATTAACACACTGGCCGATTCCCACCAAGGCAGGGTGGCCCGAAAAAGAAAAACTTCACAACTCATTCACTCCATCACTGTCTTGCCAGAAGGGTGCTTTACACTACAGTTTTTAAACTGCAACATTAACACCCCTCCTTCAGTATTGATATCGGCAAAATATTATTTATTTTTTTTATTATCACACTGGCCGATTCCCACCAAGGAAGGGTGGCCCGAAAAAGAAAAACTTCACCATCATTCACTCCATTCACTGTCTTGCCAGAATGGTGCTATTACCACACAGTTTTTAAACTGGCAACATTAACAACCCTCCTCAGAGTGCAGCACTGTACTTCCCCATCTCCATGACTCAAGTCCGGCCTGCCGGTTTTTTCCTGATCCCGTTCATAAATGTTACTTTGCACACACTCCAACAGCAACGTCAAGTATTAAAAAAACCTTATGTCCTCCATTCACTCCTTCAAACACGCTCACGCATGCCTGCTGGGAAGTCCAAGCCCCCTCGCACACTAAAACTCCTTTACCCTCTCCCTCCAAACCTTTCCTAGGCCGAAACCCCTACCCCCCCTTCCTTCCACTACAGACTGATACACTCTTGAAGTCATTCTGTTTTGGCTCCATTCTCTCTACATGTCCGAACCACCTCAACAACCCACCTCAGCCCTCTGGACAACAGTTTTGGTAATCCCGCACCTCCTCCTAACTTCCAAACTACGAATTCTCTGCATTATTTCACACCACACATTGTGCCGCATAACATGACATCTCCACTGCCTCCCAGCCTTCTCGCTGCACACATTCCATCACCCACGCTTCACACCCATAATAAGAGCGTTGGTAAAACGATATCACATACATTCTCCCCTCTTGCCTCAAAGCAAAGTTTTTGTCTCCACAACTCCTAAGTGCACCACTCCGCTCTTTTCCCCCTCATCAATTCTATGATTCACCTCATCTTTCATAGGACCCTCCGCTGACTACGTCCACTCCCAAATATCTGAATACGTCACCCTCCTCCATACTCTCGTCCTCCAATATGATATACCAATCTTTCTATCACCTACTCTTTTTGTTATCCTCATAACCTATCTTTCCTTTAATCACCTTTAATTTTCTCTTTTTGCACACCCTACCAAATTCATCCGACCAATCTCTGTCTGCAACTTCTCTTCAGAATCTCCCAAGAGCAACAGTGTCATCAGCAAGAGCATCTGTGACAACTCCGACCTTTGTGTGTGATCTTTATCTTTAACCTACTCCACGCCTCTTGCCAAGACCCTCGCATTTACTTCTCTTACAACTCCCTATCTATAAATATCTTAAAACAACCACGGTGACATCACACATCCTGTCTAAGAGGGCCTACTTTTACATGAGAAAAAAAAAAAATTTCCCTTCTTTCTACATACTCTAACCTTGAGCCTCACAATCCTCGTAAAAACTCTCCACTGCTTTCAGTATCCTACTCTCCTACAACAATACACGTGCAACATCTGCCCATTGCCCCCTATCCACCCTGTCATAGCCTTTTCCAAATCCATAAATGCCACAAGACCTCTTTAGCCTTATCTTAATACTGTTCACTTTATATGTTTCACATGTAATACCACCTGTCCACACACCCCCTACCTTATCCTAAAGCCTCCTTGTCATCTGCTATCACTATTCTCCCTACTGACTCTTAATTCTTTTCAATTTATAACTCAAGCCATACACTTTACCAGGTATAGCTCAACCAAGAGCTTTCCCCCTATAATTTTTGCATCTCTTTAACGCCCTTTAGGCCCTTTATACAGGAACTATGGCATGCTCTCGTCCATCCTGTATGGTACCTCCCTCATCCCATACATTTATTAAATAATTGCACCAACCACTCCAAAACCGATAATCCCCACCTGCTTTTAATATTTCTATCTTATCCCATCAATCCCGGCAAAATAATACAGAGTGAAAAATCTAAGTAAAAAATATGATATAGTAAATAAGCTGCAGTGTGAAGTTGGTCTCTACATGATTCAATTATTTGCACAGAAATTGTTAAAATTCTGAAAAGAGTATAGTAAGAGTACTTACAACTTGGAATAATAGTTTGTGAACAAAATTCTGGTAACTTATACAAACTGCCACTGGTAATGGCAGAAAAAAATTTCTGAACAGATATGTAATATAAATTAAAGGAAATGAGAGACCTTGAAGAGTGCAGACATAGCCCCATATCACAAAGGTGCCAGTAGAATGGTGGAAAAAAAATTACAGGCCAGCAGAAATAACACCACACAAGTCTTTGACAGGCTGATATATTCACTTACTGATTTTTATGAAAAGGCCTAACTACTCCTTGAAAAAAAAAAAAAGAAGTAACCCTGATTGTCTTTCATTCTCCCAGGTGCTGCATGATCCTTACAAGTTTAGTAACCTTTCCCCCCATGATGAATACAATATACATTCCAAGTCAACATGGCATAAGACAAAAAAAAAAAAAAAAAAAAAAAAAAAAATCCAGTGCCTAAACTACTAGTTTATATTTATATGATCAATAACCCCAATCAAAACTGATAACCAGATAGAAAAGAAGTGCCCAATTATAGCTTAAGAAAAATAAAGCAGAAGTTAATGAGTGGCATAACTTTTATGGCTTAACTCTTTTTGCTGGCATCTCATGTAGAACTACAACATTGAGTCCAGGGTCCATCAGTCTACCACATACTACAGCAGCAATAACAACAATAACCACAAACAGCAACAACAAGACACAGACATACTTTACATCTACTAAATTAGTGTGACGTGATTTTTGTTCCATCATGGCTTTAAACTTGTCAGAGTTGATATCAACAGACTCAAGCTTCGCCCCAGAGGAATCATTTAGGATGGCTCACTTAGTCCCTCGACTTCTATTGGGTCTGGTCTCCACCTGTAGGATATGACAGACTATTATAGAAAACAATGCATTAACCTTTCACTGCCCAGACACCCCGAAATAATATGCCTTTTCTTTTTTTTAACACGTTGGCCATCTCCCACCAAGGCAGGGCGACCCAAAACAGAAACATTAACCATCATTAGCACTATCACTGTCTTCCAGAGTTCACAGATATCACAGTTCAGATTCCCTCCGAAAAAAAAAAAAACAGCTACATATCCAAAACCCATCCCTGCCTTTAAAAGAGCAGCACTGTACTCAGTCCCGCTTACAAGTTTCCCTGCACTTCAGAAAATTACCCTGTGCAACACTTCAATAGCTCGTCTGGTCCAAAAACCATTTGTCTTCACTCATCCTAACACACTCACACATGCCTACTTACATGTCCAGTCCCTTAGCATACAAAACCTCATTATACCCCCCTCCCTTCAACCTTTCCAAGGACAATCCTATCGCCCTTCCTCTCACTAAAGATTTATACCCCATCCAAGTCAACCTATTTTGCTCCATCCTTGTCTAAATGGATCAACTACCTCAACAGCCATCCTCAGACCTCTGGATAAACTTTTAGTAACTCCACACTTCCAAGTAATCAACCAAACTACAAATTCTTGCATCCAAAATTTACACCACACATTGCCCTCAGACATATCCACTGCTTCCAACCTCCTCCTCACTGCAACACTTTGCAACCCTTTGCTCTAAGTGTTCACTTAAAAAAAAAATCTAAAACGGTAGAGAATCTTTTTACTGAGGTAAAGATCCAAAAGTATTAAATTTGATGAAAACTAATGGAATAGCAGTCACGAAGTAGCAGTCTAGTTGCAATTGATGCATCAGTGATTTTAGCCAACCTTTGAGTTTAAATTTTTTTTTTAAGCCATTTCCACTGGTCCCCTTTCAACCAAATTCTTAGTTAAATTTTCCACAAGTATGCCTTTTGGTTCTACCTGACTGACACAAGAACTACCCATAAAACTATTACACTAACTTATAAAGACACAGAAGTGTAATTTGGCTATTTACACGAATTAAATAAAATATAAATTTAAAAATATACTAAAATAAGCAATGCCGACATTCCTGGCATTAAAAAGATTTTACTTCTGTTCCATTAATCACATCAACAGGCCTTACTATATAGTAAAACTTAACAATTTTAAATTCAAAATCACCTAAAAATAGATTACTCAAATTCTCAATAATAAATACAGGCAAGGAATTATTGGTCCATGGTTATGGCATCTCAGTAATTGAATCAAGTTATTAAAGACCCATAAAACAGACTGGGATGTAGGGGAAAGGACTTGCCCATACTCAGGAAAATCAGTAAAAATAAAATTTTCCACTACTTTGAGCCCAATTTTAAGTTACTTCTGGTCCTGAAGTCAACTCAAATCATCACTATTTCAATAGTATGTCTTCCATTCTATCATGAGATACCAAGAAACAGCTAATAAAACCATCCCAGGAAACACCTCAAAGTCACTAAATTTACACCAAACACAAGGGCAGTTTTGTTTTTCCATCATGCACTGCATGGGGGCAGGTTTTTTTATACTGTAAAAACACACTGCACAAACCCATTCTCTCATATCTAGTGCAAAATTTACTGCGCGTGGCTTATCTAAGTAAGCCGAGCTCATGACTTAGAGCTATGTGAGGGACCCTGGCCTCAGTGATATACTGTATGTAGTTCTAAGTGACAGCCATTGAATGGGTTAAGAAACCTGATATTAAATGGCAGAACTGGTCTCGGTACAATATTTATAGTACTGTAAACCTTTATCAATTGAGAGCTATTACATTTGCCTGAAATACTTTGCATAACTGGGCTTTTTCATGTAAAAAATCTTAAAAACTGCACATTCTTGAAAATAAATGATTATAAACTACAGACTTACTGTCTGAATCAGAGGATTTGTTTATTCTCTTTCTGACTTTTTCCTGAAAGTGAGGATCAGCTGCTTTCTCAGTATTTTTTACTGCATTTGGGTTTTTAGCTTGGATTCCACCTTTCTTCTGCAACGTGGCCAGTGCTCGTGCCTATTGGAAGACATGACTGAAAGTTAAGCAATCGATTTGAATTTTTTTTTAGTACAACAGAGTTTAAGGTTGGATTTTTAATTTTTGGAATTTGCCTGTCTACTGATCATCTATATTGCAATCTGTAAACCTCAATAACTGCTAATGACTCATTGTCTCAAAATAGTAAATGCTTTCCTTTTGCCATTTTCTATTAACTGGTGACAAGAGTTATTCCCAGAAAACAATATAAGTACCACTATATATATTACATTATCACTTACTTTCGCAGGATCTGCTCTTCTAAAAGGCGGTGAAAAATCTAAATCAATATCACCACCAGGCTGGGACCCACGGCTAATGTGGGTTACTGGGAGACAATGAAAGTCTGGATTGTCCCAGCCCCCCCCCTGGCAAAGATGCCAGTGGATGACTGTGACACAGTTATGTTCTTGCTGCCCAGGGAAAAGAAAAGAGACTTTAAGAGCATTTCTTGATCTCTTAACTAATCACAGGAAACATAAAAAGTGCAGAAAAATACTGAAATAGGCAAAACTGCCAGCCAAAAACAGCAATAGTTTCAATACTATAAAATGCTGCAGTAAAATTTATTTGAGATGGGACCTTGTATTTCCAGCAGGGAACACCATATATCTACTTACCAATTGCAATGAAGAGAATGGTACAAATATAAAAGCTGTAACATCAAAAATTATTTGTGATATGAAACCTGGATAACAGAACCAAATACTAGCAGAGCTTTGTATACAACATTCCATGTGAAGGCTTGATAAGCAATGGAAAAAATAAATAAAAAAAAAAACAAACATAGGTAGAAACATTGCAAGTTAGACACCAGAATTCATAAACACCACTGCTTGTAGAACCTCAAGCATCATTCACTGGAAAACATGCAATTCTTAGGGCAATCACTGGTACAACCAGACACTACTGAACTTATCTTTTAGCCTAGCAAAGCCCTAGGCCACACATTACTTAACATGGGAAAAAAAAAAAAACATCCACTCTATAATCAAACAGTGTTAAACCTAAGGCAATGGTCCAGTGGACCAACTCAGTGGCTCTGCTATCTACAATCTCAGCACATGAAATATGATATGCCACCTCTGTAATAACTTAATAACACTTAACCCTAAGCAAAAGTTCCATATAAGGGCTGATGGATGAGTGCAATGCCAGATCAGCCGCCAGCTGTGATGGCTATGCTGAGCTGTGGGCTGTTAGCCACTAAGAGCCTGGTAACAAGTGTTCAACAGTAAAGTCTTGTCTCAGGCTGGAGCTGTGGAGGGTAAAGACCCCTGAAAGACCAGTCATAGGTAAATCACAACAGATAAGACACTTACTAGGCAAAGGAAACAATGTCTCTTACATTCCTTTTTGCTCATTCTCATTTTTAGTTTCAGTGGTAGAGTGTTTTGACTCGCAACTGAAAGTAATTAAATTCCACCCTGACAAGTCATGGTGTAGGGCAAGTTTCCTACATCATCTGCCCCTGTTTTCACCCAAAGAGTCAATAGGCACCTAGGAAGAAAACGAAGAACGGCAATAGAAATCAACTACACTCTGCTTGTCTTTCTGATCTCCAAGTTAGTAATCCAAAGACAGTCTTCTTTCAATCTCTGGTATTATACCCTTTCTGGGGTAAAAGAGTATTCAAGAAGCATTGAAATAAAGCATAACACACACAAAGCATTTGCTGATGAAACACTAACTGTGTATCATTGCATTGTTTTGCAAGTTTTGTGGCATGTTGGTCACATCACTTTCACCGGTTCACTCATTTTCTCCCATTCAAATTCCCCTTGTCATCCCTAGCATGTAAACCAGTGTAAAATTCCATCCTCAGCAGGTAATAATTGAAAATACACTACCTTAACATAAATATGGGATATAATAATGCACATTCACTCAGCACTAGAAAAAAAATACAGTATCTTGTGTGACATTCAATTTTCTCTCATTAGTTTCATTGTTACATGCCTTGCCAAACTTCTACATACAAAAGTAAATTAAGTTCCACAGTAAAATAATTATTTTGGAAGCAATGACCAACGTATTGGTGACTATAAAGCTCTAAAAACACAACATATATGAATTAACACCAGTTTGTTATTTTCCTCTTATCAGGTAGTAGGTTGGTAGACAGCAACCACCCAGGGAAGTACTAGCCGTCCTGCCAGATGACTTTGAAAACAAAAACTGTATTGTTTTGCATGATGGTAGGATAGCTGTTTCTTTTACTGTCTCATAAACACGCTAAGATAACAGGGATATCATGGCAACTCCCTACATATACACTTTGGTCACACTTCACAGACACGCACACGCATATATATCTATACATACACTCTAGGTTTTTCTCCTTTTTTCTAATAGCTCTTGTTCTTTTTTATTCTTCTATGTCCATGGGGAAGTGAAAAGAATCTTTGCCTCCGTAAGCCATGCGTGTCGTATGAGGCGACTAAAATGCCGGTGAGCAATTGGCTAGTAACCCCTTCTCCTGTAAACAATTACTAAAAAAGAGAAGAAGAAAAACTTTATAAACTGGTTTGCTTAAATGTGCGTGGATGTAGATGCGGATGACAGAACAGATGATTGCTGAGTTATGAATGAAAAGAAGTTGGATGTCCTGGCCCTAAGCGAAAACAAAGGCTGAAGGGGGTAGAAAGTTTTCAGCTGGGGGAAATAAATGGATAAAATCTGATATCTGAGAGAGTTAGAGCAAAGGAAGGGGTAGCAGTAATGTTAAATGATCATTATGGAAGGAGAAAAGAGAATATAATGTGTATAATCAGAATTATGTGGATTAAAGTAAAGGTTGGATGCGAGAAGTGGGTCATAAAAATCTGTATGCACCTGGAGAAGGAGGAATGCAGAGGAGAGAGAGAGATTTTGGGAGATGGTAAGTGAATGTATAGAGCCTTTGAACAAAGTGAGAGAGTATTGTGGTCCAGGGGACTTGAATGTAAGTAGGAAGAACTTTTAGAGAGGGTGTGGTAGGTAGTTTGGGGTGCCAGGTGTAAATGATAATGGTGAGCCTTTGATTGAACTTTGTATAGAAAGGGGTTTAGTTATAGGTAATACCAATTTTAAGAAAAAGAGGCTAAATAAGTATACACGATATGATGTAGGGCGAATGACAGTAGTTGTTGGATTTATGTATTGGTAAGAGATAAAAGACTGTGAGTAGGACTTCAGGATGTCATGTTTATAGAGGGGCCACACGCTATATCAGAACACTATTCTAGTTGTAGCTACACTGAGAGTTAAAAGGGTAGAAGGGAATACAAGGAGAATAGAAGATCAGGGAAAGAGGAGAGGTGAAGGTTTTCAACTTAAAGAGGAGGCAGTTAGGGTAAGATATAAACAAGCTATTGGAGGTGATGGGCTAATGAGAGCATAGGCACGGGGTCGAAGAGGTATGGGGTAGGTTTAAAAATGTAGTTTAAAGTGTTTAGAGTGTTCAGCAGACGTATGTGGTGACAGGAAAGTGGGGCAGGCGGGACGCGGGGGTGTTTGTTTGTTTCCCCCCCCCCCCCCCCCCCCCCCCCCCCCCCCCCCTTGTGGGTTGTGGGGGGGGGGATGCGATTTGGTGGGAATGATGATGTAAAGAGAGTAGTAAGGGGAAAAAGTTAGAATGATGAGAAGTTTCTACAAAGTAGAAGTGATGCAAGGAGGGAGAGTCTATGGAGAAAAAAGAGAGAGGTTAAGAGAGTGGTGAAGCAATGTAAAAAAGAGAGCAAAATGAAAGAGTGGGTAGATGTTATCAACAAATTTGTTGAAAATAAGTATAAGTTTTGGAGTGATGATTAAAAGTTGAAGAAAGCCTAGAGAAAAATGGATTTGATCAGTTAAAAATAGGAGAGGAGAGTTATAAATGGAAGTTAGAGGTTAATTGGAAGATGGAGGGAATATTTTGAAGGAATTGTTAAATGTTGATGAAGATAGGGGGAAGCTGTGATTTCGTGTATAGGGCAGGAGGAATACATCTTTGGGTAGGAGATGAGGGGGAAGAGCGGGTTTTTTTTGTGGTGTGGGGAAGTTGTGAGGCAGTATGGTAAAATGAGGGGTAAGGCAGCGGGAATTGATGGGATAAAGATAGAAATGTTAAAGCAGGTGGGGATATAGTTTTGGAGTGGTTGGTGCAATTGTTTAATAAATGTATGGAAGAGGGTAAGGTTAACTAGGATTGCAGAGAGCTGCATAGTTCTTTGTATAAAAGGCAAAGGGGATAAAAGAGAGTTGCAAAACTTTTAGGGGGTAAGTCTGTTGAGTGTTACCTGGTTAAAGTGTATGGTAGAGTTTATAATTGAAAGAATTAAGAGTAAGACGGGAGAATAGGATAGAGATGAACAATGTGGTCTTTAGGAAAGGTTAGGTAGGGGGTGTGTGGACCAGGTTTGTGTTTACAGTGAAACATATAGTGAACAGTATTTAGATAAAGGCTAAAGAGGTCTTTGTGGCATTTTTGGATTTGGAAAAGGCGTTTTATGACAGGGTGGATAGGGTGGGCAAACAATGTGGCAGATGTTGCTAGTGTTATGGTGTAGGAGGTCGGTTTACTGAAAGCAGTGAAGAGTTTTTACGAGGATAGTGAGGCTCAAGTTGAGTATGTAAGGAAAAGAGGGAGGAAATTTTTTCCCAGTAAAAGTAGGCCTTAGACAAGGATGTGTGATGGTCACCGTGGTTGTTTAATATATTTGTAGATGGTGTTGTAAGAGAAGTAAATGCGAGGGTCCTTGGCACGAGGCGTGGAGTTAAAAGATAAAGAATACACACAAGTGGGAGTTGTCACAGCTGCTCGTAGCTGATGACCCTGTGCTCTTGGGAGATTCTGAAGAGAAGTTGCAGAGATTGGTGGATGATTGGTAGGGTGTGCAAAAGAAGGAAAATTAAAGGTGGAAACCAGGAAAGGTAATGTTATGAGGATAACAAAAAGATTAGGTGATGAAAGGATTGAATTATCAGATTGGAGGTGAAGAAGAGTATGGAGGAGGTGAAACGTATTCAGATATTTGGGAGTGGAGTGTCAGGCGGGGGGTCTATCGAAAGATGAGGGTGAATCATAGAATTGATGAGGGAAAAAGAGTGAGTGGTGCACTTAGGGTCTGTGGAGTCAATGAACTTGGGCCGGAGGCAAAGAGGGGAATGTATGAGAGGTATAGTTTTACCAACGCTCTATATGGGTGTGAAGCGTGGGTGATGAATGTTGCAGCGAGGAGAAGGCTGGAGGCAGTGGCAGATGTCATGTCTGAGGGCAATTGTGTAGGTGTGAATATAATGCAGAGAATTCGTAGTTTGGAAGTTTGGAGGAGTTGCGGGGGTTACCAAATGACTGTTGTCCAGAGGGCTGAGGAAGGGTTGGTGAGGTGGTTCGGACATGTAGGGTGAATAGAGCGAAAACAGAATGGACTTCAGAGTGTAGCAGTCTGTAGTGGAAGGAAGGCGGGGTAGGGGTCGGGCCTGGAAGGGTTTGGAGGGAGGGGGTAAAGGAGGTTTTGATAGTGCGAGGGGCTTGACTTCCAGCAGGCATGCGTGAGCGGAGTTTGATAGGAGTTGAATGGAGACAAATGGTTTTTTTAATACTTGACGTGCTGTTGGAGTGTGAGCAAAGTAACATTTATGAAGGGATTCAGGGAAACCGGCAGGCCGGACTTGAGTCCTGGAGATGGGAAGTACAGTGCCTGCCAATCTGAAGGAGGGGTGTTAATGTTGCAGTTTAAAAACTGTAGTTGTAAAGCACCCTTCTGGCAAGACAGTGATGGAGTGAATGATGGTGAAAGTTTTTCTTTTTCGGGCCACCCTGCCTTGGTGGGAATCGGCCGGTGTGATAATAAAAATAAAAGGTTGTAAAACTATGAAACCGAATAGAATTTTTTTTTCTTAACAAGTCGGCCGTCTCCCACCGAAGCAGGGTGACCCAAAAGGAAAGAAAATCCCCAAAAAGAAAATACTTTTGTCATCATTCAACACTTTCACCTCACTCACACATAATCACTGTTTCTGCAGAGGTGCTCAGAATACAACAGTTTAGAAGCATATACGTATAAAGATACGCAACATGTCCCTCCAAACTGCCAATATCCCAAACCCCTACTTCAAAGTGCTGGCATTGTACTTCCCATTTCCAGGACTCAAGTCGGGCTATATAAAAATAACCGGTTTCCCCAAATCCCTTCACTAAATATTACCCTGTTCACACTCCAACAAATCGTCAGGTCCCAAATACCACTCGGTCTCCATTCACTTCCTATCTACACGCTCACGCACGCTTGCTAGAAGTCCAAGCCCCTCTCCCACAAAACCTCCAACCATTTCGAGGACAACCCCTACCCCGCCTTCCTTCCCCTACAGATTTATATGCTCTCCATGTCATTCTACTTTGATCCATTCTCTCTAAATGACCAAACTACCTCAACAACCCCTCTTCAGCCCTCTGACTAATACTTTTATTAACTCCACACATTCTCCTAATTTCCACACTCCGAATTTTCTGCATAATACAGTGGACCCCCGCTTAACGATCATCTCCCAATGCGACCAATTATGTAAGTGTATTTATGTAAGTGCGTTTGTACGTGTATGTTTGGGGGTCTGAAATGGACTAATCTACTTCACAATATTCCTTATGGGAACAAATTCGGTCAGTACTGGCACCTGAACATACTTCTGGAATGAAAAAATATCGTTAACCGGGGGTCCACTGTATTTACACCACACATTGCCCTTAGACAGGACATCTCCACTGCCTCCAACCACCTCCTCTCTGCAGCATTTACAACCCAAGCTTCACACCCATATAAGAGTGTTGGTACTACTGTACTTTCATACATTCCTTTCTCTGCCTCCATAGATAACGTTTTTTTGTCTCCACATATACCTCAACGCACCACTCGCCTTTTTTCCTTCATCAATTCTATGATTAACCTCATCCTTCATAAATCCATCCACTGACACGTCAACTCCCAAATATCTGAAAACATTCACTTTTTCCATGCTCCTCCTTCCCAATTTTTCTTTATCTAAATCATTTGATACCCTCATCCCCTCAAGGAGACTGATAACTTTTATGCTGATGAAGGCTCTTAATCCAAGGAATTGACCCTATTTCCCCACCTATTCCCCCTAGTGTATACCCCCCTCCAACACCATAAATGTAATGATGTGTTTATCAGTGGAAATGAATGAATGTGCCGCAATAGTGAGTAGTTATTTAAACTCACCTCTCACCCTACATTAAGACTACAAATATTTTAAGGTAAATAATGAGTGTACTATATGTGTATTTTACTTTTATATTGTTTTTTAATGCCTAGTTCTATTGCTAACTTAATACATGTTAGTGTAAACTTGTTATCTAGCATTTATATTTATTAATAAGTGGGGGAAAAAAAAAAGTTCCACTTTACGGCAGTAGCCTGGAACCTAACCTGTCATATAAGTGGGGTCCTACTGTACCTGGGGCAATGCTTTTATTTTAAGCATTTCTATCCCTTACTAGGTTTTTAAAACAGCCACTCATAAAACAAAGAAGTACACAATATAAAAACTTAATAAAACTGGATTTATTTTAGTGTACGTAGTGAGAGTGCTGCAGTATGATTCCAACATATAAATTACAGTACTACTGTACTGATATTATGAAATAATATGTACAGAATATTTTGAGGAACTTTTAAATGTTGAGGAAGAAAGGGAGGCGGTAATTTCATGCACTGGCCAGGGAGGTATACCATCTTTTAGCAGTGAAGAAGAGCAGAATGTAAGTGTGGTGGAAGTACGTGAGGCATTACACAGAATGAAAGAGGGTAAAGCAGCTGGAACTGACGGGATCATGACAGAAATGTTAAAAGCAGGGGGGGATATAGTGTTGGAGTGGTTGGTACTTTTATTTAATAAATGTATGAAAGAGGGGAAGGTACCTAGGGATTGGCGGAGAGCATGTATAGTCCCTTTATATAAAGGGAAAGGGGACAAAAGAGATTGTAAAAATTATAGAGGAATAAGTTTACTGAGTATACCAGGAAAAGTATACGGTAGGGCTATAACTGAAAGAATTAGAGGTAAGACAGAATGTAGGATTGCAGATGAGCAGGGAGGCTTCAGAGTGGGTAGGGGATGTGTAGATCAAGTGTTTACATTGAAGCATATATGTGAACAGTATTTAGATAAAGGTAGGGAAGTTTTTATTGCATTTATGGATTTAGAAAAGGCATATGATAGAGTGGATAGAGGAGCAATGTGGCAGATGTTGCAAGTATATGGAATAGGTGGTAAGTTACTAAATGCTGTAAAGAGCTTTTATGAGGATAGTGAGGCTCAGGTTAGGGTGTGTAGAAGAGAGGGAGAATACTTCCCGGTAAAAGTAGGTCTTAGACAGGGATGTGTAATGTCACCATGGTTGTTTAATATATTTATAGATGGGGTTGTAAAAGAAGTAAATGCTAGGGTTTCGGGAGAGGGGTGGGATTAAATTATGGGGAATCAAATTCAAAATGGGAATTGACACAGTTACTTTTTGCTGATGATACTGTGCTTATGGGAGATTCTAAAGAAAAAATTGCAAAGGCTAGTGGATGAGTTTGAGAATGTGTGTAAAGGTAGAAAGTTGAAAGTGAACATAGAAAAGAGTAAGGTGATGAGGGTATCAAATGATTTAGATAAAGAAAAATTGGATATCAAATTGGGGAGGAGTATGGAAGAAGTGAATGTTTTCAGATACTTGGGAGTTGAACGTGTCGGTGGATGGATTTATGAAGGATGAGGTTAATCATAGAATTGATGAGGGAAAAAAGGTGAGTGGTGCGTTGAGGTATATGTGGAGTCAAAAAACGTTATCTATGGAGGCAAAGAACGGAATGTATGAAAGTATAGTAGTACCAACACTCTTATATGGATGTGAAGCTTGGGTGGTAAATGCAGCAGCGAGGAGACGGTTGGAGGCAGTGGAGATGTCCTGTCTAAGGGCAATGTATGGTGTAAATATTATGCAGAAAATTCGGAGTGTGGAAATTAGGAGAAGGTGTGGAGTTAATAAAAGTATTAGTCAGAGGGCAGAAGAGGGATTGTTGATGTGGTTTGGTCATTTAGAGAGAATTTATCAAAGTAGAATGACATGGAAAGCATATAAATCTATAGGGAAAGGAAGGAGGGGTAGGGGTCGTCCTCGAAAGGGTTGGAAAGAGGGGGTAAAGGAGGTTTTGTGGGCGAGGGGCTTGGACTTCCAGCAAGCGTGCATGAGCGTGTTAGATAGGAGTGAATGGAGACAAATGATACTTGGGACCTGACGATCTGTTGGAGTGTGAGCAGGGTAATATTTAGTGAAGGGATTCAGGGAAACCGGTTATTTTCATATAGTCGGACTTGAGTCCTGGAAATGGGAAGTACAATGCCTGCACTTTAAAGGAGGGGTTTGGGATATTGGCAGTTTGGAGGGATATGTTGTGTATCTTTATACGTATATGCTTCTAAACTGTTGTATTCTGAGCACCTCTGCAAAAGCAGTGATAATGTGTGAGTGTGGTGAAAGTGTTGAATGATGATGAAAGTATTTTCTTTTTGGGGATTTTCTTTCTTTTTTGGGTCACCCTGCCTCGGTGGGAGACGGCCGACTTGTTGAAAAAAAAAAAAAAATGTACAGTTCAGTACTATTGTACTGTACTGAACATATTACAGTGGAACCTCAAATATCTAACTTTCTTCAGTCCAGAAGGCTGTTCGAGTGCCTTTACCGAATGAATTTATTCCCATCAGGAATAATGTAAATTAGATTAGTCCATTTCAGACCCTCAAAAATACACTTATAAAAGCACTTACAAAAATACACTTACATAATTGCTTGTGTTGGGAGCAGTTCGATTTTTGAGGTTCCACTGTATTTCATAATATTTGCCCTTGCAATTTGCACAGCTACTTTCAAAAGATGCATGCAATATTTGCCTATTGTAAACCACTATGCCAAATGGGCAAAGATACACAGAAAATTAAGAAAACATTTGACAGCATGTTCATTACATATTACTTACTTGTCTTTTCCGTGACTGGATTTGCTGACTAGTCATATTGAGCAAATCCTTAGCAGTGACACTGCGAATTTCTCCAGACTTTGTCTTTTTCTGCACATCTTCCTTGACCATGAAGCGTAAAAGATTACGTGCTCCGGGGGTAGGAGCCAGAAGTCTTTCACTACTGCATTGTTAGAAAAAATATGAAACAGCCTCAAAAAATCAGTCTTCTACTAAGCATTGGTTATTGGTGAATTTTTTATTAATTTCCAGTATTCCTGACTAACTACTATTAATACAGTAAAATTAAGTTGTTAACGAACCTATAATTATGATTTGAAACAACCTTCTGAGCAATATATAATCACTAAACGAAGACCCAAAGATTTGGGCTGAATTCAACTAATAATAATAATACAGTGGACCCCCGAGTTTTGTGATTAATCCATTCCAGAATATGCTGAAGGACGAAATTGATGAATGGCGAAACCATTTTCCCCATAAGAAATAAAGGAAATAAAACTAATCTACTCCAGACACCCAAAAAATATTAAAAAAAAAAAAAAAAAAAAAATTCAAATTAAATAAAGATTTACACACAGAAAACAATGAGAAATCAAGTACGTACATACATATATAAAATAATGATAACATTACACTTACCTTTACTGAAGACTTCTGGGTGGATGGAAGACGAGAGGGGAGAGGATGACGGTGCACTATTGTTTGGAAGGGGAATCCCCATCCATAAAGACTTCAGGTACCAAGTCCTTATCTGGGGTTACTTCCCTTTGTTTTTTAATGCCACTGGAAACAACTTGAGTCACTGGACCCCTGTTGCACAAAATATCTGTCCAGAGAGCTCTGTTTCTGGCGTTTCTTTAAAATTTCCCTAAAATGGAACACAACATTGTCATTGTACACGTTGCCAACACGGCCTGCAACAGCTTTGCCAGGGTGAAGTTCATCCATAAATGTTTGCACTTCAGTCCACTTTACACAAATGTCCTTCCTCCTCCTGTGAAGCAATTTCCTGAGCTGCGGTCTGTTGTTTTTGCAGATGAAGGTCTTGCAGCTCTGTAGTGGTTAGCTCTTCATTGTGGTCCTCCACCAACTCTTCCACATCCTCCAAACTCACATCCAATCCCATGGAATTCCCCAGTAACACAATACCTGGAGTTTACCTGGAGAGAGTTCCGGGGGTCAACGCCCCCGCGGCCCAGTCTGTGACCAGGCCTCATGGTGGATCAGAGCCTGATCAACCAGGCCGTTACTGCTGGCTGCACGCAATCCAACGTACGAGCCACAGCCCGGCTGGTAAGGTACCGACTTTAGGTGCTTGTCCAGTGCCTGCTTAAAGACAGCCAGGGGTGTATTGGTAATCCCCCTTATGTATGCTGGGAGGCAGTTGAACAGTGTTGGGCCCCTGACACTTATTGTATTGTCTCTTAACGTGCTAGTGACACCCCTGCTTTTCATTGGGGGGATGTTGCATCGTCTGCCGAGTCTTTTGCTTTTGTTGTGAGTGATTTTCATGTGAAAGTTCGGTACTAGTCCCTCTAGGATTTTCCAGGTGTATATAATCATGTATCTCTCCCACCTGCGTTCCAGGAAGTACAGGTTCAGGAACTTCAAGCGCTCCCAGTAATTGAGGTGTTTTATCTCCGTTGTGCGTGCCGTGAAGGTTCTCTGTACTCTTGGTGACACTGTTTTTCTTGAACACTCTGAGGTTTTCAAAGTGATAGACCAGTAAAGGCTTCACTTTGCAATCCTCACTAGCATTACTATAAAACATGAGTTAGCCTGTCTTTCATAGGCTTGTGTCCTGGGAGTGCCATTTCCTCCTGTGTGATGTAGGTCCTCTTTGGCATTTTCTTCCAAAACGGGCCTGTTTCGTCACAAGTGAACACTTGTTGGGGTTTGAATTTTTCAGTGTCTACGTACCCCTTAAACTCCTGTACAAACTTCTCAGTCGCCCGTTTGTCTGAACTGGCACCCTCACCATGCTTTACCACACTGTATGCCACTACACTTCTTAAATCTCTCAAACCAGCCTTTGCTGGCCTTAAAATCACAAACATCACCACTCATTGCAGGCATTTTCTTTACGAAGTCGTCATGCAACTGCCTTGCCTTTTCACATATTATTGACTGCATAATACTATCTCCTGCTAACTGTTTTTGGGTAATCCACACCAACAATAACCTTTCCACTTCTTCGAGGGTTTGCGATCTCTTTTTTGTCAGCATATCTACCCCTTTTGCAACAACAGCACACTATTTCCTTTCCCTTTCACAACTTACTAACATATTTCACAGCTTGACAACATACAGTGGACCCCCGGTTAACGAACTTTTTTCATTTCAGTATTATGTTCAGGTGCCAGTACTGACCGAATTTTTTCCCATAAGGAATATTGTGAAGTAGATTAGTCCATTTCAGACCCCCAAACATACACGTACAAACGCACTTACATAAATACACTTACATAATTGGTCGCATTTGGAGGTGATCGTTAAGCGGGGGTCCACTGTATTTTGGTCTATCCAGGACCAAAATATTGCCTCAAATTTGTGGATTATTCTAACCACAGTACAGTGGACCCCCGCATAATGATGGCATCACATAGCGATTTTTCCGCATACCGATTACTTTTATCGCAAAATTTTTGCCGCGCATACCGATTAAAAACCCGCTTACCGATTTTCGTCCGAGACGCGTCCAATGTGCCCTCAGCCAGCCTCACATGTGCCGGCCGTCCCATTGTTTACCAGCCAGCCTCCGCGGTAACATCCAAGCATACACTCGGAATATTTCGTATTATTACAGTGTTTTCGGTGCTGTTTCTGGAAAATAAGTGACCATGGGCCCCAAGAAAGCTTCTAGTGCCAACCCTGTGGTAAAAAGGGTGAGAATTAGTATGGAAATTAAGAAAGATTTTGAAGGGTTTGCGGCTAACCCTGAGAAGCCTATGCCAGTTGTGGAATCCATTGTGCCTACTTCAAAGATTAAGGAAATGTGTGCACAGTGGGTTGAACTGCAAACCTTTATAGATGAAAATCACCCTGACACAGCTGTTGCAAGCCGTGCTGGTGACTATTTCAATGACAATGTTGTGGCCCATTTTAGACAAATCGTAAAGGAACGGGAGGTACAGAGCTCTATGGACAGATTTGTTGTGCGACAGAGGTCCAGTGACTCTCAAGCTGGTCCTAGTGGCATTAAAAGAAGAAGGGAAGTAACCCCGGAAAAGGACTTGCTACCTCAAGTCGTAATGGAAGGGGATTCCCCTTCTAAACAGTAAGAAGATAATGCTCTCCCCTCCTCCCATCCCATCAATCATCACCAGATCTTCAATAAAAGTAAGTGTCATTTAATTGTGCATGCCTTTTTCAGTTTGTGTGTATTAAAATTAACATTTCATGTGGTAAAAAAAAATTTTTTTCATACTTTTGGGCGTCTTGCACGGATTAATTTGATTTCCATTATTTCTTATGGGGAAAATTCATTCGCATAACGATTATTTCGCATAACGATGAGCCCTCTTGCACGGATTAAAATCGTTAACCGGGGGTCCACTGTATTATGGTTTAATCATCCTGATCAACTTCGTCAAACTTATGTTTCAAATTTGGTCATCAGAAACCAAGCAACAGTTACTGATGATTGTACAGCCTCTCCTCACTTAATGACGGAGTTCCATTCCTAAGACCACGTCATTAACCCTTAAATTGTCCAAACGTAGATCTACGTTTTTTCAACATTTGAAAGTATGTAAAAAAATGTAGATCTACTTTTTTTTTTTTTTTTACATTTGAAAACGTGTAAAAAAACATTGATCTACATTTTTTCGGTTATATTTGAAAATATGTAAAAAAAACGTGGATCTACTTTTGGAGCACTACGCATGTGAACATAATTTGTTTGGACAGTTTAAGGGTTAAATGAATTCGTCACTAAGTGAGGAGCATACTATAATGGCAGTGAGTTTGTGTCAACCGTCTTTGATATTGTTTTAATGTCACCTTTGCACCATTTATAACATTTCTGGTACATTTTTAAATGTTTATACAGTAGTGTACTGCTTATTGAAATAAAAAGAATAGAGGAAATCAGCTCTAATATACATTATTTAGGTATGAATACTGGTCAGAGAGCCCATCGTAAGCCCAAGGCGTTGGTAAACGAGTACGTTGCTAAGTGAGGAGAGGCTGTATTAGGGAAAAATGAAGTACAGTAAGTTAAAATTACCAGTAAAATATTTAGGTATGATAAACTGTTTTGGAACAACAGTATTAGAAATGCTTCCTAACATGTAATTAGTGAAAGGGTTTGTAAAGAAAATATGACGGGCAAATAAAGGATATTAACAATACAGTAGAACCTCTACTTATGAGTGCATCCATGTGCAAGTTTTTCCAGATATGAGCAGCTGCTCGGTCAATTTTTTGTTTCCATACGCGAGCAAAATTTCCAGATGCGAGCAGGCATCAAGGGAGGTTAATTGACACTGGTGAGGGGGCTCTTGCTCTTGATCTAGGGAATTGGGTCTCAGTTGTTTGTTGGACTATCTTATTGAAACTTGGGCAATGTATTATGAAAATATGCTTCTTAACGTACACCAAAAATGAAAGAAATCGGACCATAAATAACGGAGTTCACTTCTCAGCCATTAGACTCCCCTTAGCGGTATATTTTCGTATGGTTTTTATGGTTGTATTCTCGTTTTATTTGGTCTTATGTGATAGAATGGAAGATATACTACAAAAATAAATATGATTTTAATTGGTTTCACGATGAAAAGTACCTTGAAATTGAGCTCAAAATAGCAGAAATGTTCGATTCTTTGGCGACGTCAGTGGTAGACATCATGAGGTAGCAGTGGCAGATAACATGAAACAGCAGTGGCAGATAACATGAAACAGTAGTGGCAGACAACATGAAGCAACAGTGGCAGACATCATGAGGTAGCAGTGGCAGACAACATGAAGTAGCAGTGGCAGACATCATGAGGTAGCAGTGGCAGACAACATGAAGCAGCAGTGGCAGACATCATGAGGTAGCAGTGGCACATCATGAGGTAGCAGTGGCAGACATGAAGCAGCAGTGGCAGACAGCATGAAGCAACAGTGGAAGACATCATGAGGTAGCAGTGGCAGACAACATGAAGCAGCAGTGGCAGACATCATGAGGTAGCAGTGGCAGACATCATGAGGTAGCAGTGGCAGACATCATGAGGTAGCAGTGGCAGACAACATGAAGCAGCAGTGGAACATCATGAGGTAGCAGTGGCAGACATCATGAGGTAGCAGTGGCAGACAACATGAAGCAGCAGTGACAGACAACATGAAGCAGCAGTGACAGACAATATAAGGTAGCAGTGACAGACAACATGAAGCAGCAGTGACAGACAACATGAAGAAGCAGTGACAGTCAACATGAAGTAGCTGTGGCAGACAACATGAAGCAGCAGTGGCAGACAACATGAAGCAGCAGTGGCAGACATCATGAGGTAGCAGTGGCAGACATGAAGCAACAGTGGCAGACAACATGAGGTAGTAGTGGCAGACAATATGAAGCAGCAGTGACAGACAACATGAAGCAGCAGTGACAGACAACATGAAGCAGCAGTGACAGACAACATGAGGTAGCAATGACAGACAACATGAAGCTGTGGCAGACAACATGAAGCAGCAGTGGCAGACAACATGAAGCAGCAGTGACACAACATGAAGCAGCAGTGACAGACAGCATGAGGTAGCAGTGGCAGACAACATAAAGCAGCAGTGACAGACAACATGAAGAAGCTGTGGCAGACAACATGAAGCAGCAGTGGCAGACAACATGAAGCAGCAGTGGCAGACATCATGAGGTAGCAGTGGCAGACAACATGAAGCAGCAGTGGCAAAGTGTAGCAATTTAGTGAAGAATTAAGAGTGTGGCACTTATAAGTCACTCTGACTTTTTGGGTTATCCTAGGTTCTCTACACATGTAGTCAGGAGCAGGAATGGCCGCTGTGGTGGCCCTATAAACCCCAACAACAATGGCTGCTGTCACCACCACTAGCCACATACCTAATGACATGTATTTTATTCATTCTAGTGTATACATCATGTTTCTATGTTATTAATATTGTTTATTATGTTATATTACACAAATTGTGATAGATAAATAAGCTGTAGAGTTGATATAGAGAAATTATTAAAGTATTTTCTCGTGCCTGGAATTCCACTGGAATGAATTAATTCCATTTCAATTAATTTAAATGAGGAAAATTGACTCTGCAAACGAGCAAATCCAGTTGCGAGCAAGGTCATGGAACGGATTAAACTCGTAAGTAGAGGTTCCACTGTATCTTTGTTTGCTGTATTATGATAAAACTGAACAATGTAGATACATATATGTAATATACAATACACGTACTTACAAATTATCATTTGTTTGAGCTACTTGTCTAATTGCTTTAATTTCACCATCACTCATGTGTTTTAAAATAAAGGAATTCTGTTTGTCTTCTGTCTTCAACTGTTCTGTCTTTACTTTAAGCTTGAGGGAAGCTAAAGTTGTGAGATCCTTTGCTTTATTGGCTCTAGCTTGCTTAGGGGCACATCCAGGTGCTGGTGATGTGTACAGCTGCCCACCATAAAATACCTACAAGAAGAAAACAAATACTGCATTAACTATTCCTTAATAGCTAGGAGTGTATGTAGTATTTAAATTTGGGTTGGTTAAAAATTCCAACCAGTTAAATTGTTTAAATTTTTTATATTACTGGAAATAAATGCTTATAGAATAAACCACCTGATCTTTCCCAAGTACTTTCTCTTGTAATCTCCGCCGAGGGTCCACTCTGGTGAACGATGACTGGATATCTGCACGCTTGGCCGAAGTCTTCTGATACTCTCGTTGGATGTGGTATATACAGAATTCACATGAAGATTTGTTCACGAAATACTTGCACTGTGAATTTTGTTTTGTTCTGAAGAGTGACATCATGGTAAAATTAATTTAGATTATAGTAATATTATCAGAGTAACAGTACAGCTATTTAATACACATTGTTTCTTCTACTTCCCTTGCTTCTAGTGGAACCTTCTTCCTATTTTATCAACTCTTCCCTTCAAGGATACCAACAGTCATTTCAACACTTTCATATGCTGTACAGTCCTTCACTTATTTGAATTCACTCTCATTCATCATCACTGCATATGTCTAAATCTTTGAAAAAATCTTTCCTAGTCCCTTTCTTGGATTGAACCTGAATGACTGCCTCTCATTTCCCCAGGTACTGCATGATCCCTATAGGTTTAACACATTTCCCACCTGAATGTAATAATAATACATTTCTTAGTTTTCATCATTCCAAATTTTTGTGTATAGCCTACAATATTCATTTTTACATATTACCATAATGCAATTCTTAAGAAGTTGATTTCAACCAGCATTTTAGATTTATGTTTAAAGTTCATTATTCACTAATATAGGTCAAAGTCATGATTATGATGTTCTCACCCACCTGGACAAAATTAGATGTCTTTATTATAAGAGGTTTACCGAGTATACCAGGTAAGGTATATGGCAGGGTTATTACTGAAAGAATCAGAGGTAAGACAGAGAGCAGGACTGCAGATGAAAAAGGAGGCTTTAGAATGGGTAGGGGATGTGTAGATCAAGTGTTTACATTGAAGCATATAAGTGAACAATATTTAAAAAAAGATAGGGAAGTTTTCAATGCATTTATGGATTTATAAAAGGCTTATGACAGGGTAGATAAGGGAGCAATGTGGCAGATGTTGCAAGTTTATGGAGTAGGTAAAGAGTTTTTATGAGGATAGGGCCTTGTAGCGTAACGGATAATGCGTCTGATTCCGAATTGGAAGAACCCAGGTTCATCTTTTAAGACAGTGATTATGTATGAGTGAGGTGAAAGTGTTGAATGATAATGAAAGTATTTTCTTTTTGGGGATTTTCTTTCTTTTTAGGTCACCCTGCCTTGGTGGGAGATGGCTGACTTGTTGAGAAGAAGAAGAAGAAAAAAAAAAGTAGGCCTTAGACAGGGATGTGAAATGTCACCATATTTATTTAACATATTTATAGATGGAGTTGTAAAAGAAGTAAATGCTAGGACGTTGGGGAGAGTGGTGGGATTAAATTATGAGGAATCAAATACAAAATGGGCATTGACACAGTTACTTTTTGCTAATATACTATGCTTTTGGGAAGATTCTAAAGAGAAGTTGCAAAGGTTAGTGGATGAGTTTGGGAATGTGTGTAAAGAAAGAAAGCTGAAAGTGAACATAGATAACAGTAAGGTGATGAGGGTATCAAACGAGTTAGGTGAAGAAAAATTGGATATCACATTGGAGGGAGAAAGTATGGAAGAAGTGAATGTGTTTAGATATTGGGGAGTATATTTGTCAACAGATGGGTTTATGAAGGATGAAGTTAACCACAGAATTGATGAAGGAAAAAAAGTGAGTGGTGCACTGAAAAATCGTTATCCATGGAGGCAAAGAAGGGAATGTATGAGAGTACAATGGTACCAACACTCTTATATGGGTGTGAAGCATGGTTTGCAACTGCTGCAGTGAGAAAGAGGCTGAAGGCAGTGGAGATGTTGTGTCTAAGGGCAATATGTGGTGTAAATATTATGCAGACAATTTGTAGTGTGGAAATTAGATGGTGTGGAGTAACTAAAAGTATTATTCAGAGGGATGAAGGGGGGTTATTGAGGTAGTTTGGTCCTTTAGAGAGGACGGAGGAAAACAGGTTGATTTGGAGAGTGTATAAATCTGAAGTGAAGGGTTAGGAGGGGTAGGGGTCATCATAGGAAAGGATAGAGGAAGGGGGTATAAAAGGTTTTATGTGATAGGGGCCTGGACATGCAGCAAGCACGTGTGAGCATGTTAGATAGGAGTGAATGAAGACGAATGGTTTTTGGGACCTGATGAGCTAAGGGATTCAGAAAAACTGGTTAGCCAGACTCGAGTCCTGGAGGTAGGAAGCACAATCCCTGCACTTTAAAGGAGGAGTTTGGGATATTGGCTGTTTGGAGTGACATCTAAACTATCATATCTGGGCCTCCCTGCAAAGATAGTGATTTTGTATGAATGATGGCAAGTGTTGAATGATAGTGAAAGTGTTTCTTTCTTTTTTGTATCATCCTACCTCGGTGGGAGACGGCCAACGTGTCGAGGAAAAAAAAAAGTCCTGTGGATTTTGTTCTATGCCCATGGACCAGTACGTCTCCTACAATGATTCCCTGTTCTCTTGCACTTATGGACCACCACTATTACTTCACTTTCTACTATTACTTCTACCACTAGTACACCATTATTACAACTACTATTATTAGTATTGTTTCCTTCTTCCACACCCTCCTTTCTCCTATCCTCTGTTCTGGCCTTCTCTGCTTTTTTTCCTCACTCAACTGTGACTTGACTATGGTCCAGGACAGACCAAAACATTGTCATAAGTTTCATAAATGCAGGTTATTCATAAACAGTCCTGTCTTCATATGCATAGCAGCCTTCTTCCCTGTTATAATTAAAAAAGTAAATCCCTACATTTTTCTCCCTATATTACTTTATGTTTGAGTTGTACATATTTAAAACACTTGCATTTGCTAACTTTTTTCAATACTATACCATACTTTTATTACTGTATATGTTTTATGTGAGCACCTCTGCAAAGACAGTGATTATGTATTAGTGATGGTGAAAGTGTTGAATGATGACGAAAGTTTTTCCTTTCTCTTTGGGTTTTTCTTTCTTTTGGGTCACCCTGTCTTGGTGGGAAACAGCTAATGTGTTAAAAATTTTTTTTTTTATTAACCTTTTATTTATAGAACAAATGGATTTGTCAGTTAAAAATAGGAGAGGAGAGTTATTAAATGGAGAGTTAGAGGTATTGGGAAGATGGAGGGAATATTTCGAGGAATTGTTAAATGTTGATGAAGATAGGGAAGCTGTGATTTCGTGTATAGGGCAAGGAGGAATAACATCTTGTAGGAGTGAGGAAGAGCCAGTTGTGAGTGTGGGGGAAGTTCGTGAGGTAGTAGGTAAAATGAAAGGGGGTAAGGCAGCCGGGATTGATGGGATAAAGATAGAAATGTTAAAAGCAGGTGGGGATATAGTTTTGGAGTGGTTGGTGCAATTATTTAATAAATGTATGGAAGAAGGTAAGGTACCTAGGGATTGGCAGAGAGCATGCATAGTTCCTTTCTATAAAGGCAAAGGGGACAAAAGAGAGTGCAAAAATTATAGGGGGATAAGTTTGCTGAGTATACCTGGTAAAGTGTATGGTAGAGTTATTATTGAAAGAATTAAGAGTAGGACGGAGAATAGGATAGCAGATGAACAAGGAGGTTTTAGGAAAGGTAGGGGTGTGTGGACCAGGTGTTTACAGTGAAACACATAAGTGAACAGTATTTAGATAAGGCTAAAGAGGTCTTTGTGGCATTTGTGGATTTGGAAAAGGCGTATGACAGGGTGGATAGGGGGGAAATGTGGCAGATGTTGCAGGTGTATGGTGTAGGAGGTAGGTTACTGAAAGCAGTGAAGAGTTTTTACGAGGATAGTGAGGCTCAAGTTAGAGTATGTAGGAAAGAGGGAAATTATTTCCCAGTAAAAGTAGGCCTTAGACAAGGATGTGTGATGTCACCGTGGTTGTTTAATATATTTATAGATGGGGTTGTAAGAGAAGTAAATGCGAGGGTCTTGGCAAGAGGCGTGGAGTTAAAAGATAAAGAATCACACACAGTGGGAGTTCTCACAGTTGCTCTTTGCTGATGACACTGTGCTCTTGGGAGATTCTGAAGAGAAGTTGCAGAGATTGGTGGATGAATTTGGTAGGGTATGCAAAAGAAGAAAATTAAAAGTGAATACAGGAAAGAGTAAGGTTATGAGGATAACAAAAAGATTAGATGATGAAAGATTGGATATCAGATTGGAGGGAGAGAGTATGGAGGAGGTGAATGTATTCAATATTTGGGAGTGGACGTGTCAGCGGATGGGTCTATGAAAGATGAGGTGAATCATAGAATTGATGAGGGGAAAAGGGTGAGTGGTGCACTTAGGAGTCTGTGGAGACAAATAACTTTGTATAGTTTTACCAACGCTCTTATATGGGTGTGAAGCATGGGTGATGAATGTTGCAGCGAGGAGAAGGCTGGAGGCAGTGGAGATGTCGTGTCTGAGGGCAATGTGTGGTGTGAATGTAATGCAGAGAATTCGTAGTTTGGAAGTTAGGAGGAGGTGCGGGATTACCAAAACTGTTGTCCAGAGGGCTGAGGAAGGGTTGTTGAGGTGGTTCGGACATGTAGAGAGAATGGAGCGAAACAGAATGACTTCAAGAGTGTATCAGTCTGTAGTGGAAGGAAGGCGGGGTAGGGGTCGGCCTAGGAAAGGTTGGAGGGAGGGGGTAAAGGAGGTTTTGTGTGCGAGGGGCTTGGACTTCCAGCAGGCATGCGTGAGCGTGTTTGATAGGAGGTAATGGAGACAAATGGTTTTTAATACTTGACGTGCTGTTGGAGTGTGAGCAAAGTAACATTTATGAAGGGGTTTAGGGAAACCGGCAGGCCGGACTTGAGTCCTGGAGATGGGAAGTACAGTGCCTGCACTCTGAAGGAGGGGTGTTAATGTTGCAGTTTAAAAACTGAGGTGTAAAGCACCCTTCTGGCAAGACAGTGATGGAGTGAATGATAGTGGAAGATTTTCTTTTCTGGGCCACCCTGCCCTGGTGGGAATCGGCCAGTGTGATAATAAAAAAAAAATTATTTATCTAGTATTTAAACATGATTGCAAACATGAAATGCAAGTGAAAACCTACAATTGGCCAGGGGCTGAACCAGCCACATTAAAAGTTGTTTCATAGATAGCAATGATGCAGATATGCAACCATCCTGTTATGAGTATGAGAAATGAAAATCTGTTAAATGGTTTGTACTCTGGGAGGACTGCTGGCCATTTCTGTCTGTCTCATGAATATGTAAAATGAACAATAAAGCTTACAAATTTTCTACTTGCATACTGTATACACTTGTTCCTGTTTCTTAATAGTTCTTAGAACTATAATAATTGCTTTTCAGCTTTAAAGGCCTTGTCTAAGACTTTGATGTGGATGAGAAGATTCCTAGAACCACTGACAGATACACCGAATAAGAAAATCATGATGGCAGTATACCAACAGTTTGATGTTCTTTGCACTCTCATTTGGAGCATTCCTACACACCTTCCTTTGCACCATCCAAGATCCTTAGAGCTTCCCATCACCATGACTTTCTGGTGGTCAAATATGGACAATGTAAGAAGATCTGTAGTCTTGTCACTTTGCCTGAAACAAAAAATTACATGTCTAAAATTTAAATAGGTAATAATATATAATCTTGGGGTGAGGAAGACGGGTAAATAGGAATCATAGTCAGTCAAGAAAGCCTTAAATCTAGGCTTCACATTTGAATAGAAATTTGCAATATTCCAATGTAGCTGATTTTATAAATATTATACATAATTTAGGGAAAGGCCGTGACATAAATGTAACTTACTCTTGAGAGCCATTACACTTACTACAAACCATAAATAATAATTAATCAAAATACATGGTAGTAGGTTGGTAGACAGCAGCCGCCCAGGGAGGTGCTACCGTCCTGCCAAGTGAGTGTAAAACGAAAGCCTGTAATTGTTTTACATGATGGTAGGATTGCTGGTGTCTTTTGTCTGTCTCATAAATATGCAAGATTACAGGCATGTCTTGCTACTTCTACTTACACTTAGGTCACACTACACATACATGTACATGTTTATTTATACACACTCATCTGAGTTTTCTTTGATTTTATCTTAATAGTTCTTGGTCTTATTACTTCTCCTTTTATATCCATGGGGAAGTGGAATAAGAATCTTTCCTCCGTAAGCCATGCGTGTTGTAAAGGTCAACTAAAATGCCGGGAACAATGGGCTAGTAACCCCTTTTCCTGTAAAGATTACTAAAAAGAATAAGAAGAAGAAAATTGTCAAAGTGGGAAGTCTGAATGTGCGTGGATGTTGTGCAAATGATAAGAAAGAGATGATTGTGGATGTTATGAATGAGAAGAAACTGGATGTCCTGGCTTTAAGTGAAACAAAGCTGAAGGGGGTGGGAGAGTTTCAATGGAGAGGAATAAATGGGATTAGGTCAGGGGTTTCAAATAGAGTTAGAGCTAAAGAAGGAGTAGCAATAATGTTGAAGGATAAGCTATGGCAGGAAAAGAGGGACTACAAATGTATAAATTCAAGGATTATGTGGAGTAAAATAAAGATTGGATGTGAAAAGTGGGTTATAGTAAGCGTGTATGCACCTGGAGAAGAGAGAAGTGTAGAGGAGAGAGAGAGATTCTGGGAAATGTTGAGTGAATGCGTGGGGAGTCTTGAATCAAGTGTGAGAGTAATGGTGGTTGGGGATTCAATGCTAAAGTGGGTAAAAATGTTATAGAGGGAGTAGTAGGTAAATTTGGGATGCCAGGGGTAAATGTAAATGGGGAGCCTTTAATTGAGCTATGTGTAGAAAGAGATTTGGTAATAAGTAATACATATTTTATGAAAAAGAGGATAAATAAATATACAAGGTATGATGTAGCACGTAATGAAAGTAGTTTGTTAGATTATGTATTGGTGGATAAAAGGTTGATGGGTAGGCTCCAGGATGTACATGTTTTATAGAGGGGCAACTGATATATCGGATCATTATTTAGTTGTAGCTACAGTTAGAGTAAGAGGTAGATGGGAAAAGAGGAAGGTGGCAACAACAAGTAAGAGGGAGGTGAAAGTGTATAAACTAAGGGAGGAGGAAGTTTGGGCGAGATATAAGCGACTATTGGCAGAAAGGTGGGCTAGTGCAAAGATGAGTAGTGGGGGGGTTGAAGAGGGTTGGAATAGTTTTAAAAATGCAGTATTAGAATGTGGGGCAGAAGTTTGTGGTTATAGGAGGGTGGGGGCAGGAGGAAAGAGGAGTGATTGGTGGAATGATGAAGTAAAGGGTGTGATAAAAGAGAAAAAGGTAGCTTACGAGAGGTTTTTACAAAGCAGAAGTGTTATAAGAAGAGCAGAGTATATGGAGAGTAAAAGAAAGGTGAAGAGAGTGGTGAGAGAGTGCAAAAGGAGAGCAGACGAAAGAGTGGGAGAGGCACTGTCAAGAAATTTTAATGAAAATAAGAAAAAATTTTGGAATGAGTTAAACAAGTTAAGAAAGCCTAGGGAAAGTATGGATTTGTCAGTTAAAAACAGAGTAGGGGAGTTAGTAGATGGGGAGAGGGAGGTATTAGGTAGATGGCGAGAATATTTTGAGGAACTTTTAAATATTGAGGAAGAAAGGGAGGCGGTAATTTCATGCACTGGCCAGGGAGGTATACCATCTTTTAGGAGTGAAGAAGAGCAGAATGTAAGTGTGGTGGAGGTACGTGAGGCATTACACAGAATGAAAGGGGGTAAAGCAGCTGGAACTGATGGGATCATGACAGAAATGTTAAAAGCAGGGGGGGATATAGTGTTGGAGTGGTTGGTACTTTTGTTTAATAAATGTATGAAAGAGGGGAAGGTACCTAGGGATTGGCGGAGAGCATGTATAGTCCCTTTATATAAAGGGAAAGGGGACAAAAGAGATTGTAAAAATTATAGAGGATTAAGTTTACTGAGTATACGTACCAGGAAAAGTATACGGTAGGGTTATAACTGAAAGAATTAGAGGTAAGACAGAATGTAAGATTGCGGATGAGCAGGGAGGCTTCAGAGTGGGTAGGGGATGTGTAGATCAAGTGTTTACATTGAAGCATATATGTGAACAGTATTTAGATAAAGGTAGGGAAGTTTTTATTGCATTTATGGATTTAGAAAAGGCATATGATAGAGTGGATAGAGGAGCAATGTGGCAGATGTTACAAGTATATGGAATAGGTGGTAAGTTACTAAATGCTGTAAAGAGCTTTTATGAGGATAGTGAGGCTCAGGTTAGGGTGTGTAGAAGAGAGGGAGAATACTTCCCGGTAAAAGTAGGTCTTAGACAGGGATGTGTAATGTCACCATGGTTGTTTAATATATTTATAGATGGGGTTGTAAAAGAAGTAAATGCTAGGGTGTTTGGGAGAGGGGTGGGATTAAATTATGGGGAATGAAATTCAAAATGGGAATTGACACAGTTACTTTTTGCTGATGATACTGTGCTTATGGGAGATTCTAAAGAAAAATTGCAAAGGTTAGTGGATGAGTTTGAGAATGTGTGTAAAGGTAGAAAGTTGAAAGTGAACATAGAAAAGAGTAAGGTGATGAGGGTATCAAATGATTTAGATAAAGAAAAATTGGATATCAAATTGGGGAGGAGGAGTATGGAAGAAGTGAATGTTTTCAGATACTTGGGAGTTGACGTGTCAGCGGGTGGATTTATGAAGGATGAGGAAAAAAAAAAAACTGATCTTTTTTTTGGGAAATTTAAAACCCCGGACTTTGAGGTGAAAATTTTCGTTTTAATATTTATAGTTGTTTTCCGCTTTTTTCATGATCTTAGGTGAAAAAAATGGAAAACATATTACAGAAATAGAGATGATTTTTTATTACTTTGACGATGAAAACGATCTTGAAAACTGAGCTAAAAAGTCCCGGAAATTTTTCCGATTTTTACCAATGTTCAGGAGAAAAATAAATAACCCCCACACGCCAATAACTTTAAACGGGGGAAATTTTTAAAATTTTCCCTTTCCCACTATTGCATTTTTAAATTTTATACCTTTTTTTAACAAAAATTGCAGTAGTCTCCCCTAACATAAATTTTGTTTTTTTTTTGTATAAAATAAAAAATCAAAATAGAAAGCAAAAAATAATAAAAGAGGGGCCTAGAGTTTGGGGGATAATAAACCCGAGCATATTTATTTTAGTGCCATGAATGTCAAACCTTGGGTTTTTTTCCTGGCCCCTATTTTAAAAATTGGAATTTTTTTTTAGTTTGTGTAAAAATTGGCCCCAAAGGGGCCAATTTCTGCCCACCATATTGGGTAGCCCAAATTAGTAAATGGGGGGTTTCTTGTACTCACTGATAGAAAAAAAGGAGTTCAAAAGAAATAGCAAAGGTTTGGGTTTAAAACGGGAAAACAAGGGTTTTGGCTGAAAATGGGGCTCAAAGTCGGGGAAATCGCCGATATTTTATATGTCCCCAAAGGGGACCTCTAACTTAGGGGAAAGCAAAATTTCCCATGATTTTTTCGAAAAAATTTCCCGAACTTTTGGTGTCTTTAAAACCAGGGGAAAAGTTTCTCTATCATTTCATAAGAAAAAAAATTTTTTTTTTTTTTAAAAAATTTGGGAGGAAATTTGAATGAAAATTTTCAGAGGGGCCGAAAAACAGTAAAAGGGGTTAAAGGGTGGATTTTATTTAAAAAGCCAAGTCACGGGAGTACAAAAAGGGCCCTATTTTCACGGGAAGGTTGATTTCGGGGCTTTTGGGTTTTGGGAAAAGTAAAACGTTTTTTTTTTTTTTTTTTTTTTAACTTTCAAAAAAAATAAAAAAGGGCCTGATAACATGAAAACTCAAATAAACCTTTTAAGTGAGCAATAGGGTTGGTCTGAAAATGCCTGTACATTACCACATTACTTACCAAAAAATTTTTTTTCCACCCCTGAGCTTAAAATTTAGTAGTAAATTTATATTTTACTGAAGGAAGTCAAAAATAAATAAAGAATGGGTATACAGGGGAAACCCTGGGTTTTATCAGCTGTAATCCTTTCCCAAAAGGGGTCGGCTGATAAAAAAAAAGGGGCCGGGAAAACCCGGATTAATATTTCCTATAAAATTAAGGGAAAATAAAAATTAACCCGTTCCAGATAAAAATATTCAAAAAAAAAATATTTTTTTGAACAATTATGTAATTTTTTAAATCCCTTTTAAATTGAAGGCTAATGCTGGCTTTTTTGGAAAGATGGGGAAGGGGAAAGAGAGAGGAGTTATTTGTTTTGGAAAAGGGGGAATCCCCCCCAAAAAGATTTTTAGGTAGAAAAAGCCTTCTCTGGGTTATTTCCCCTTCTTTGTCTTTTAACCCTTTGGGATGTGAAACCCCCTTTCCTGAGGTGTTCCTGGGGTTGCAAAATTTAAAAAAAAAAAAAATTTTTTTTTCTTATGAAATGTTTTAAGAGAATCTTTTCCCGTTTGGGAATGACACCAAAAACCCGAAATTTGAGGGAAAAAAAGGGAGGGAATTTTACACCTTGAAAAATTTAACCCGACCTCGGCGATTTTTTACAAATCAGCGTTTTTTGCCCATTTGACCCCCTTTTTTTTTATTTTTTTTCCATTTTTCCAGTCGAAAAATTCTC